GGGGGGGGGGCGTTGTTTATTATTAGGGGGAAGCGATTACTAGGGACCATATCTCCCCAATTCAGGGTACAGGGAGGGTCCTGGTACTTCTAACCCAAAATATTGAGCCGAAGGGTGGCAGCATTTTGCTTGGATAGCATAGGGTTTAGGGTTTTTGGGTTTAGGGTTTAGGGTTTAGGTATAACTTGGGTCATTCACCCCTACAGTAACTGTCCTTAAGGGGGCTTTGTTGCGTGGTTACTGTAACTCCTATTATCTGTTATGGTAACAGTTACTGTAAGGGGGAATGACCTAACCTATAACCCCAACTACCTACAGTTTAGTAGTAACTCCCCCCAATTAGTAGGTATAACAGATAAAACGGCGTAGGGAACTGGGATTACAGCAACTTCCTTTTTTGCTTGGATAGTAGCATCCCCACTATAGAGTTACTCTAAAGGGCGGCTGTGATACAAGGTTTAGAGTTTGGGGTCCAGGGTTTAGGCTAGTATTTTTCATGAGAATACTATAGCCCCGATATAAAGCAAGATTATATCCTACGTTCGGCTGTAGTATGTTCAAAGCAGAATGTCATAATATTCGGTTGAACCTGCGCCGAACCCACAACCCCTTCTTACTCGGTTCCACCACCCATTTCTTTTTTAAGCAGACACACGCACTACTCAGCCCTAAGCCCGAAACTTCTCAACCTTAATCACAACGCCAAACCCCAATACCCCTAAGCCCTGATACCCTAAACTCAAGACCCTCGAATTGCACCCCAATATATTCCTTATGATACTATCGTGGTTTCCTTTTTCTTTTCCATTATCCCTATATAACCCCTATATAACCTCAATAAAACGGCGGTGAGGATGATCGCGCTGGCGAGGCGCGACGAGAAAGAGGTGGTCCGGCTGGACAAGGAGAACGGAAGCGGCAGGGATAGCTCTTTTAGGGTTTAGGGAGTTTAGGGTTTAGGGTAGGGCTCCCTGGGGTCTTTTTTTGTGGTCTGGTGTGAAGGATGGCGACATTTCAAAAAAGGGTTTAACGCTTTATTGGTGTTGATGCTGTTATTAGGGTTTTGGCGCTGATATTAAAAGGTCGGGTTTAGGGTTTGGGTTGATACTATCTGTGATCTCCCATCTTGTCTATGTAATCTCCCCGCCCGCATTACTCAAAACAATCTGGGGAAAACGTGGGATGCGGAGGATGGTTTAGGGTAGTTGCAAGAGGCGCTCAGCTGGTTGAAGCCAACTATCGGCATGACCCTAAACACCTTGTACCATGAGGATTATGGTGTTTCTGTACACTAAAGTCATGCGCGCCCAAAACCCTCATTAACGCCGTGTTGGGGCGCTGGCAATCCCTAAACCCTAAACTCTGATTCGCAACCCTATTTGTAGTAAAAACCTAAACCTAACACCCAGTTTTTATTGTCGACCTTGAACCCATAAACTCCAAGTTGTAGTTCCCACATGGTGTCAAAGCGGAGGGGTTCTTACACCACATTGTGTTTGCCTTTTTTTATGTTGCCTTTCCTCAGTCTCGCTTCCCAGGTTTTGGAGAGAGTCCTGTCCCGGGAGTCAGTGCTGGGTATTCAGGATAGTGCGATTGCATGGGCGGATGAAATGCAATGACAACTAGCTCGCAGAATGTGCGCCTATGGCTTTTGGAGGGAAGCCTTAAGTAGGGCAAATTTGTTAGAGTGGCTTGCATAAGCATCAAAGACGGGCTGTAGAAGCAAATGGAGGCAGAATGTTGGTAGGATATCTCTGTGTTCGACTGATAATGTAGGGAGATGCCAGGCTTCATCAAGAATTGTCTTCAGAGCAGGTAGAGCTTCAGGAGCAAGTTTTCCCTCATGTGGCATTTTAGGGCGCATCATGGCGCTTCAGGGTGCGCAAAACATGCTAGATATACAGTCTCTTTTCAAGCGACCTCCAATGACATGTAGCTTTTGAAAATCTCAAGCCCAGAGCAATTATCTGTCCCGTTTACCTGGGCTTTCCACGACCCGCCCCCCTGCCCCGCCGGCAAGGAGGGACCCCCTGAAGTCAGAAAAAAAACAATACGGCGGATTTGGAGCTGCATTTTTCTGGCATACATATTGTTGATGGACTAACGTCTGCATGGCCCCACAGATCTAGATTCGGGGAAGTATGGCGGAATTGCTTACTTCGGGTCGCGCGCGGTTCTGCTTTATCAACAACATTCAACAACCCTCAACTCCTAAATCGTGAGACCTGAAGCCTCTGCATCCCTAAAGGTTCAGAGACATTCAGGGCTTAGTGTTTTAGGGTCAGACTTTCGGGTCAGACAGGTTTTTGTCAACCCTAAATCCTGAAAACTAGGCCCCGAATACCCTCTTCCGGCCCTTGAAGACCATAACACCTAAGTCCCAAGCCCTAAGCCCTTAACTCTAAACCCCAAACACCTGTTTTTCACCTGTGAGAAGGAGATGGGCAGCAGGACGCAGAACTCCAAAGCAGACGTCAGGCAACCGGCAGCGGGATCTAATGGACCAAATAATGGTCGACTCACGTATAGAGACGTAGGCAGGCTTTGCCTTTTTTTAGGTGTCATGTATGTTTGGGGGAGCATAAGGGTTTCGAGCTTTAGGTGTATTTAGGGCCTACGCTTTCTGGGCTTCAGCGGTTGCAAGGCATAGGAGTATGGCTTCAAGGCGTTAGGGCTTTGGGCTTCAGACCGCTTCATCATGGGTTCAACTAGTACCCCCCCTCTA